TACGAATATTATTATTAATATCGTGTTTACTAGTATTATATATAGAAAATAAATGTGCATATTGTATGTATATGTAATATAAAATTCTTTCATAATACTTTTTTTTAACTTTTTTAAATCAGATACGCGCTAGGTGTTTTGCGTAAGACTTGTACCATTTTTAAAAATGGGATGGCTTTTATCGGGTGAAGGCACCAACTCACTCGTTAAGCCCCGGAATGGCCTAAATTAACCTCACGGGTATAATTAACCCTTGGAATAAGAACTACGGCTGCTATCAATAACTAAGTTTGTCGTAAACATGACAAGTAAATATTCATCTTACTAAGATCGTGAGTGCGTTTAGGAGTACACTCGTACGTCACACATTCATTATCATTACATCATGCATAAAACTGAAAGATGCATATGTATGTGACGCAAAGCATACAACTGCAATTCAAAGAGATTTTTTTCGGGATTACTTTAAAATGAATATATTATAGCATAAATTAATTTTTTTCGCCTTTATAGAATAAAATATGTACGCGCAAAAAAGCATACATTTCTCTTCTTTGTATATCACCGCAATATTCTTAAGCACCACATTTTCGTAATATTTCGAGAATAAAAAAAAAAACAATAAAAGAGCGACAGAGAAATGACGCGACATGCGAAGTTAAGAATGGGGAGGGTATCCCTCTCGCGATCTCTCATTTCTCGCCGGAATCAAGCGCGTATCGCGCGGTCGTTAACGAGAAAAGTACTCGTAAGGAGAGCGCCTCGACGGCGCGGCGCGACGCGTCGGCCTATTCATCGAGCTGTACCACTCGCGCCTCGCGCTCGCTCCTGCCGAGGTATTAAAGACGCCGCCACGCCGTGAGGTCATCCGTTATCGAGAGCGAGCAAACTTATCGCGGCCACGTTAAGTCCTGCCGTTTTAACGGCTTAGCGAAACTCTTCGAGACGCGACCGCGATATACGTCGAGCCGATGCGAAATAAGACGGGATGGAAATGAAAACAATGGATCAGAAGATTATACGCGCTTTCCTCGTCTCTCCTCTCCTAGAGTTTGCTCACACAAATGCATTCTTATTTTTTTTTCGAGCACATATAAAACATCCCCTTATTATGTAATAATAAGTAATAAATAGGTATTTATTACTTATTACGTAATAATAAGTAATAGATACCTATATAAGTAATAAGTACCTTATTACATGTATGTTTTTGTAAACACGCTTGAGAAACTTAATTTATTATATCTGCTTTTTATTATTTTTTACGTCACGTTAATTATAGAACAAAGTGTAAATCTGTCAGCGCAATTACGGATTATAATAAAAAATCAGGAATAATGTAGACATGTTTCTATTGTGCTAAAATTATCATTATACATTTAATCGATGAAGAGATATCGAGTTATTTTTATCTAATGGATATAAGGGAATTTTTTAGAGCAATATTAAATTGCGACACAAAAAGTGAATCTACAAACTACTTATGAGCAAATTCGGAGCATTACATGCAAATTGATATAAGATCAGTTGTAATATTGGTTAATATCGATTATGGGTATCTATTTTGCACTCAGATGCATCAGCGCATGGAAAACCGAAAGAGAAATGTGACAGCTTTGATCAAAATTGAGAACTAGATCGGATATCAAGCTGGCATTTGGCACCACTGAATCTTTTATCAATACTCTTTCAAGCTCGATTATTCGCGAGAGTCGGAGGCGTTTTTACTTTTTGTAATCCTATTTTCCATACCGACATGATATCAAACATTTGTCTCTCCGATAACGATGTTTTAAACTGCGTATATATATATTTTTTTTAATTTAAGATAACGAAACAATAATATATCATTCGTATTTTTCAAATAAACGCAATTTGTTTTTATCAAAATAAGGAAAGATAACAAACGCGATATTTTTTTTCACCTCTATGAATTATACGGTTTTATATCTGTGTGCATTTGCTGTCATGCATCATAACACAAGGTGGTTTCGCAGGGATATGAAATTTCGCACTCGATTCTATTTTCATGGAAGGCAACGGTATACTATCATGAACGGAATCCATCGCGCGCTGAGATGCTCGATATAAAGTTTTAGACTCTCGCTCTTCCCAAATTTATTTTCTCCAAGTATTATGTATATACATACATATATGTATAGGTATATACATATCCGTCGAAAACTTTTCCATACTCGAACACTCAGCATCGCGCGTTTAAGACACGTGCACGTGTGAAGAATAAAATATAATGTACAATATTAGGAAAAATGTTGAATAAATTTGTATAATTTCTTAGGAAGAAAGATTTTGACCCAATAAGAGATCGATATCTCTTCGGTCTTTGAAATTCTCGCGAGAAAGTTATGAAAAAAAATTCAAATAATATTTCAAATGTAGGTAACATTTCTGCAATTGTAATTACAGAGATAAAAAAGCAGAAACATTTTTTTCTCTCCTTCTTTTTCTCTAATTAGTGATACACCTGCGCGCATTTTTCATCTATTTAATTTCCATGCATATAATTCCGGAAGATGGAATTCATAGTCGAATTCGGTAGGCAGACAAAATCGTAATACGTCCGTAATTTGGCCGCAAATCTTCGCGAGACAATTCATTACCCGATCTTCTAATTCAATGAATTATCTATATGCTACCGTATAGGTGCCGAATTACCGCCACATTCATTCATTCTTAATCCTCCTTTTGTTAAATGGGCTTGGAAATAAATTGATGGTTGCGCACATACCTAAAATTCCTATCTTTTGCGCCTTTCTCTCGTAACATTCTCAAGCCACAATAATCCCTGGTAGGCCATTACGCGAAGAGACATATTCAAGCATAGACAATGTAAAAGATGTTATTGTCATGTCACGAAGTGCGGCGAACCTTCCTTTTTGATGAAGTGCACAAGACATTTCTGATGCCGCATTTTCCATCGATTCGCGCGCGGCAAAGTTTCGCATAAAACTCCGGATGGCTTCAAGAACCAAAAAAGCTGTATACACATTTCTTGGCAATATGGTCAATATCTCGTGAAAGTTCAGCACTTATATTGAACTTTATACTTTTAAAAAATTTTTTTGTTTTAATTGCGCACACATATAGGATTATATTCCTACAATTTAGTAAAATATACTCGTATATTATGTTATTTATTGTTATATATAATATTATTATTTGCATAATATTGGCCTCGTATTGTTTGCACAATTCCATTATAATATCAATGCATTACTAAGTTTTCTGTTATTGCACATTGATTGCACAAAATATATATCCGTAAAAACTTTCAACGTACGAATGACTGAATTGCGTGAAAAAGATATTTTTCCAGAGTGCGCTAATGCACTTTGGAAATGATTTTTCTTCGGCTTGTCAAGCTGACATAAATCTGCCAGCAAACATTTACATTACTATACGCTACTGTACGATAACAAAGTGCAAACATTTATCTGTTTGATAATAACTACTAAAATCGTAAGACCATCGCAAATTGCATCGCGATGTGTGTTTCTTTCATTCTTTCGCTTATATTTGAAAATGTTTGATAAAGTACTTGATACATTCGGAGCAGTGTTGTTCGCGGAACGTCGCAAAAAGTATTGCCATTGCATACACAATGATCAGTGAATTATCTTCGGAGCATCCACGTTTACTTTGCAAATTATAGGAAAATAATAACAAACCTACTCTCCGGTGCATTCTCTAATCGACGATAAGAAATCCGCTTACCCTTCGGTTCACGTAAACGATGAAGGAACGATAAAACCGATACTCTGCAGCGAAGTTGTTATAGGGGACAATTAGGGAATGCAAATAATCGTCGAACCGGAAAAGAAATAAAGGAACACCTGTCCGATTCCCACGTGCATGTTTTCCCTCGTTTTAGTCCGCGTTGTTACGCATCCTTGTCGTGGCTTGTATACGCGATACACAAATTCGCTTTGTTGTTGCTAATTGGCTCACGATCGATAACTACGCAATTCGAGCACTTAATCCCACTACACGCAAACTACACTCGCGGCGTGACGTAAGGCGTTACATGTGGTCACGTTTGCTTTGTACGTCCGCACGTTTGTTAAATCTTCGCGTCGCCCTAATTCTCCACGTCAAAGTGTAATTGTGCATCGCGATTTCATATTTAATGTTCATAATATAATCTATATTATTATATGATAGAGTATATTACATCTATTATTATATATTATGTATAATATAATAATATTAATTATTATTAGTTAATCTATTTAATATATCTTATTTATTATTATTAATGTATTAATATAATATCGTTATTTCAATACAAATCGGTACAAACGGAAGATTAAAAATAATCGAAGACCCTTTTTATCGATTCCCTGATTAATATTTCGCGTGTGATATATATTATTCTTTCTTCGTATAAAGACGAGGAAAATTTTTGAGTTTTTTTTTTCAAGTACTTCCTAAAATTCTAGCTTTTCCTCCCGTAATTTATATAGTATAGAAAAAATACTTGAACGTATCCCTCTCTGAAGAAGCTTATCTGCTTACGATAGTAGGTGGCGAGTACCCAATAGAGCGAAGATATCGGACGTAAACGAACGTGCATGCCTTACGATATGACCAGAATAAAACTGATTATATATTTGTATCGGAAATTGTTAACCTTTGACCGTAAGCGACCGTATGAGAAATCTCGTATTATCGTGTGTGTGTTGTATATCTCTAAAAGTATATCGATCATCCGTCACAAGATACGTACACGTCATCGGCGTGTCTCTTTAACCCTCTTTCGACAAATAAACAAAATTACGGATTACGTCTGGAGTTTGTTAATAATAAATGACGATAATAATGATATGCCGCGAGCAACATAATTAAACACGAAACGAAATCATGTTTCGTTGATTAGATAAAGAAGTAACAGTCGCCCGAACGAGAGCTAAATAATTTTCGTGCAAGTAATTATTGTGCAAGACTATAATAACAGAGTAAAAGCGAAACGATGAACTCACCAGTATGTGTTCGTCGCTACAAATTAATTTACGTTGCGGTGGCCAATGGGATGTCCTTATTAGCGTAGATGTCGTCCGAGTGGATGTGACGACCAGGACGAATAATGAAACGAAATGCTTCCGCTCCTATGCATCCAAAACCGCTTTGAACAGAAATATATATATCATCTTTAATAAATGTTATGATGCAACAATTTCTATCAAGATAAATTTGTCAAAGAAAGAAATACAGAATATACACGATTCTTTAAAAAAAGATTTATTACTTCAATAAGATGCGATTATTTATTTTTTTTTTTTTTATAAATCTAGAAAATAAAATAATGCGGCAAAAAAATATATATACGAATGAAACGGAATCTTTTGATACAATTTCTTTCTCGATTATAATACGAAGTTAAGAAAATAGATTTGATCACGTATAATTATAGTTGTAATTATTATTTTACTGGACTTAATTCATGAATAGATTTCATTTTATAAATTCTTATTTATATCCATCTTTTTACTTTTTACAGATTAAAAAAAATAAAATAATTTTTTAAATAATAAACTTGGGATTCTTACCTGCTACTGTATAATTCTCGAGTGTTGTATATGTGAAGTTATAATTCTCCTCAACTTTTTCAATCGCCCAAGTATTATAATTCTCCTTCAGATGACAGGGCAATATCGGTCCTTCATGCTTCATTTATCAACATGGCATAAAAATCGCGCGATTATCTCTCGCGTAATATATCTTGTCGATTTTATTTCTATCTTGACTGAAACACTTTACGTCGCATAAAGACCCGCTTGTCGGTCATTAAACCGTGTATTTTCGCTTTACACCTAGCAATTTGCAAACACCGAACACCGAAAAACTGGCTCTTATATTACTTCACAAAAACCTGTCCATTATTTCGATCTTCCGAACAATCTCGATCATTCGTTCCTCTTCGATCGTTACATTATACACTCGATCTTCCCGATGTACTTCCCTCACGAGTACGCGAGTTCATTGACATCCGGCCACTGCCCGACTTGTCTTCCCTCTCGACTTCTGTCCCTCGTTCCACCGATTCGGATCTACTTGTTCTTCAATCCGTTAAATCCCGAATTGTCAAATCTTGGAATCTTCTTTCGCAAGAATTCGAAATCCGCGGAGGACCCGCATATCACCCATCAACTTTTCCTCCTCGCGCCGCACGATTTCGCTCCAAAAACGCTCCACGTTTCATCCGCATCGTCTCGATCGCAAAAGTTATCAAAACCCACCAACTCGATTTCTCTCCGACGTCTATAATCGCGATATCCCAAAACAATCCCAAACTCTCTTCCTCGATCACTTGGATCCCTCTTCTTCGGTCGTCGATCTATATTTCCGTATATAAAACGAATAGAGAAACTCGCGGATCGATCTCTCGATGAATCAATGATTCGCGGAAGTGTCGTCGGATCCAGGGCGAGGATCGAGAATGCAGCGCAACGTGTTCTGTATCGCGGATCCAGGCGAAAACGCGGAGATCGAGCGATCGAAAACACCGGCCGGTGTCGGACCTCGTGGATGTTCCTGACTTGTTGGAGTAACGTGTCGCGGCGCGGTGACAGAACGCACACGGGACGTGTGGGTGGAGTGCGCCCGTTGCCGCCGACTGGCCAGGTCGGCGACCGTCGTGTGCTCTCCCGTCGTCCTGGCGAATGGCTTGTACCGGCGGCGCGCTCGCGACTGGGATCCTGGATTTCGGATGAGGGCTCGCTCTCAAGAATCAAGCACGCAGGCGCCGCGGACTCGTTGTCTCTCTCCCGCGGACGCGCCGACTCGCCTCGTTTCTCTCTGTCTTCCTTACTCGCTGCCTGCCGGTGCGGCGCGCGAGCCTGCTCCTGCTTACTTGCCGGGTGGCTGATACCGGAGTAACCTACCCCTGCTGCCTGGTTACCTGCCTGTCTCTACCCCGGACCCTGCCCTATCTACCCTGCCATCGCCTCCAAGTGTCTCGGAAAAAGACGCGCGCGCGCTATAAATAATTTATTCACGATGACGTGGTCTCGATGACACGCGAGCGCACACGTTTCCTGACGTAGAGGCTTCTCCGTTTAATGACGTTGAGATGCGTCCACGCGGTGCATCGATATAGTAAATGCATTCATCAAGCTAATCGCGTCAATCTGGTCGATCAGCCTTCAAACGGGGAGTTAAACGAAACTGATTATACGCGCGATCGTAAAAGTAAACGAGGGACGATAATTTGTTTCAATATTTTACGGTTCTCTTGCTTGTTTTTCTACGAGAAAAACAAGTAGGACGATATTTTTACGAGAATTATTTCTTAAGAATCTCATTTAATTTTAGTCTAATCACTGATCGAGGAAATATATATTTCTCCCGACGTTTTACGTATATCATTGTATCTTGCCTTATGAAAAATCTTATTATGCATTAGTTGTCGTCTAGGATCAACACGCAAGTGGTTTCTTTCTATGATTCTTGTCTCTGTTTCGTTGTACGGTTACGTGAACCTGTTAAGGATGACAGTCTTGTCATTCTACTTGTCCAGTCCTTTGCTCGTACGTGCCTCGTGTATTTTTACCACAAACCTGCGCTATCTACCTACACATTGACATTTATACTTGAGTGCACCGGGGTTAGTTTGAAACTTTTTATTCGTGTGTATATAGTGAAAATTTTAATTCCGGCCAGCTTTAATTTGGAGAAGCTTGACGTGAATAATTATCAGGAAAAAAATACGACCTCGGTGTGCTCCGGCTCACTTATTATTATCATCCTCCGAATGACGATAATGACACAAATAATTACGCTAATAACATTTTAATAGCGAATTTTCAACACATACATATTATATTACGCATGCATGCTATTAGGATTGCAAGAGCATTGTATAGGTCGCTCGGGAATCTAACTAAACTAGCCAAATCCCGAGATAATGTATATATTCAAAGGGCAGTTTATATACACACGTATATGCTGTTCATGTGATTTGTGAATTAATAATTATTAAAGTTAATATAAAGATAGATTACACTGCATAATGTACCTATGAAAGATTAAAAACACGACTTTCTTTCTCACTTCGATAATAAAGATTAAAAGGCACACTTAATTAAAGCGACATAAAATATGAAAATTATGTGTGCGATCAATATAAGCCTAAAATTGTATTCTTCTAAATCTTGCTGTAAATTTCCAAACACGCGTATATATGTTACAAGTCGAATAACACAATTTACACGCGAACAAAAGCGAGACCGAGGCGAACAATCGACGCAGCCGAATATATATGTATGTATGTACATACATACATATGTTAACGCATATATGATCTTGTACCTGAATGTTTGCGCAGTCTTTGAAGCGCATATGTAAACACATCTAACGCATGTTAATATATATTTTCACTATACACAGCTTCAACGAAAAGTGTAGCTTCTGTATCGATACATTCGCCTACGCCCTGTATGTCGCGATCATTCTGGCGTATATATTGTTACGTAGCCATTTTCTATGTCGCTACGTGACATTTACGACCTTTGCGTCGGATACCTTTCACAACATCCGGGCAAACGCAACGATGTTCCTGTTGCTTTCAACTCGATTGCGTGCAGAATTATACGTTACGTTCGATACGATTAATCCTCCGTAAACGAGGTTGAATCCTTTTGATTGTGTCAACATTGGCAAATTAGCTTATGCCCTAGTTATTTCTTCTCCCTAATGTCATACGAAATCGAGTGTCATTATCTCATGCTTATTATTAAAAACAGAAATAGCAATTAACCGGTATTATGAATTATATACATATAATAAAATTATTATCGTCAGTATTCAATTAAATTTCTATCGAATGTGCATTCTCTCGGATATTATTTTATCGCTAATTGATAACTGTCTCTTGATGATTTTTTTATTAAATATGCCATTTATTTTGCACACAACATATCAAATATTATTATACGTCTATCCTTATTTTATTCTATCTTTTCCATTAAACACAATTTTTCACTCGATTGACTCTAGTGATCAATGAGAGAAATGTTTTTGTCTCGCGCGAGAAAGAAATTTTCTAAACAGTTTTATATTATTCCTTGCCTTTCTCTGTATATCTTATATCTTATAAATCTATCTGCGTTTTCGAAATAACAGGTAAAATATTGACTCGATCAAAGATTGTAATCCTTAGGGTGGGACACAATGCATGAAAAATCTTTCGTATTTACATTGCACAAAATTTTTCCATAATGCTTGTGACTGCAAACGGGATTTACCTATGGGATCTTACGTCAGGATTGTAATACCGATTCCCGTTGTGCAATGTGCATAGGTATCAAGAACATGCTCCTTCGTCTTTTCATAGAACCGCATTCGTAGAATCGTTGCAATAAATGTCAGAAACTGCAACCGTAATATGCAAGTTCAGGGCGAGCGTAAACAGGCCGTGCAATTAGACAGGCGGATCAGCTCACCAGCTATCCGCGTCCGTCTCTTTCACGTGAGGGAAGTTACATTCCATAGCGGATGCATACCGCATTCGCGCGAGATGATGGTGACACGTCCGCGAAAATTACCGTAACAGGGGACGGCATTTTCCGTTACATAAACTTCGTAATATCGCAGGTGACAGACTCGCAGTTTGTTAAGTCCGCGCGAAGATAAAAATTATTATAATAATCGAGCGGTGAAAAGAAAAATATATACATCTTCTTATACGAGATTATACATATCACGGATATTTTTCCAACACATTTGTCAGTTTAATTATAAACAAGATTATTTACCAAGACACGCATCTACAGTAATATTCTCTTCGATACGAATTGAAAAAGCATGAACGAAGCGGCCTACAATCGTTATATTGTCGGACTAAAATATCTCGACCGATACTTTGGTACAAAAGGTTAAAAACAGTGTGAGCGTAATATGTATTAAGCACGATTAAAATTCCGTATCGACCAACAAGTTATAAATGCCACGAAAATAAAAGAAAGAGCACGTTCAGCAGTGGAATATGCGTATATTTTTTCAGACAATGTTTCATGCAGTAGATTTACATATCACGTATCACACGTGTTTTTTTAATATTACGTTTCGTATAAACGAGACGCTCAATTTTTTTTATTCTCTTTCTCCCTCTCTCTCTCTCTTTTATATATGCATAATATTTTTAAATTATTACTGTTAACAAAATATCGAATTAATTTCACAAATTTTATAGTTTATATAAATCTTGTGAAAGAGATACGGATGCACGCATACCTATAATTCTTTTCTCTAAATATAATTCATTGCGATGTTGCATGCATTATAAACCGCTTAATTGAATCGGTCTTTTACTGTGCAAAGATATATAAGATCTACTGCGGCTTGGGAAGAGCCCTTCAAAGTACTGGTGTTATATATCGAGTTAAGTTAGTACACTGCATCCTTATTAAACATGTACAAGATTACGTGTGCTCGACCTTCATCAATATAAATCCCAAGCAACCAAATTCTCGTTTGTTCTCTTTTGGAGAGAGTACGTATATCTACGAATGAGAAAAAGAATTGCAATAAAAAAGAAATTTATTCGCCAGAAAGCTTCCCCAAAAAACTTCTTTTTACAAATTTACTTGGACGTTTTTCATTAAATTTAAAACTTCGATATTTTCCATTTAGATGCTCCAGATAATAATAGAATTGATTGATCGAAATTATTTAATGCGCTTCGGAAACTGAAATTTTTCGAAAAAGATTTAGATATTTCTATAAATATTCTCGAATGTTGATGTTACATTTTTGATCCCAAGATGATTAAATCACAAAATAATTTTCTGAATCCGATCTTTTTGTGAAGATAAAATTGTAATGAAAAATAAATAAAATTATAATATGTATACCGCGAAACTCTCTGATGTATGCTAGTCACGGATTCGCGATAAATTATATCATATCCCTTCAATAGCCGGTCTCATATTTGCTTGAGCGATCGAGCGTATGAAATTCGTTTTCGTCCAGACTCTTCGTGATTGGCAAGCTGCCATGTCATGTCTTGAAAAATTTTCGCAGAGGATGCCATAATCGACAGACAAAAATTCCAGACAAAAAAAATCTCTTGATCTCGGGAGGAAAAAATACGAAACATTTCTAAGGGATATTTGACGCGCCATTGCGTCTGCGAATGACCGCGCGTTTCACCTCAATTAATAATCGCTGAATTAATTAGCCGCGTGTAATTACGCGTAACCCGTGATTTGTGAGGCTGATTCTATACAGTGATATCGCGTGGAACGTTTGAGCTGCCGGATCCTATATAATTTTATTATGATAAATAATCGAATAAAGCGCGCGTTACAGATTCATCCCGTTCATCCGTCAAATGTCAATCCTATATACACGTGAAATATATTTCAAAAAATATTTATACGTGGAAAAAATATTGCAAACGATAAATATCCAAACTGATTTAATTTTTTATTATTTATTGGTTTTTTATACAGCAGATTTACATCAAGAGATCGGAATAATTTAGATTTGTTAAAAAAAATAAATATATAATATGAATCACCTTATCGTACAAGTTATGCATTATTATTTCTTTTTACTTGAAACAGTTGTTTTCAACTTGCTACAGAATTGTTAAGAAAACGTAGATTTAATTGCTAAATGTAACAATGTCCTATGTAGGCTGTAACTTACTTGGTATATCGATAATCAATCGACAACTTGGATGAAGTTACATGTTAGTTTTGCCTACCATCTGCCTTCCTGTTGCACTTTCCGTGAGCTTCCTATTATTACTCAGCGGGAGCACCTGATACTGCCTCCGATTTGACTTAGGTAGTTCGTCTAGGGATTGGGTCAATAATAAGACCCCCTTTCTATAGCTCTCTCTCTCTTCCTCTCT